CTTTGCTTTAATATATGCAAACGAATAGCAGGAGTCTAAAGCAGCAGTGCGAATAATAAATTCGAATACATGAATAGAGCGAGCTCTAACATTGGGATAGTGTCTGTCAAATTATTATTGAAAAGAACTGGAGGAGTCCTTGCAAAGGTGTGAATGAAGAAAAGAATTTCCAGCACTGAGCAGGAAATTAATGTACCTTGGATTTATTTTTTAATTACAAAATAATTCCAGTATCTACGCCGCGCGAGGATTTACGCGCAGAAGAAATAGAAGGAGTTGAAGTAATGTGTATGCAACTGTTCTGTTTTATATATATATATATATATATATATGCCTTTATATTATATATATTAGTATTGTGTTGTGATTTCAGTTTCCTACTGTTAATATTGATAAAATTACTGTCAGTTAAATCGATTTGTCAATGTGAATTCATATATCATAATCCATATAAAATGATTATTGTAAAAATTGCAAAGGATTTAATAATACTTGGTGATACATAAGTATAAGGAGTAAAGAATAGAATACAGTAAAATACAAGTGCTTATAGTTCTTATATTCTTTGTTTAGTTTAATATCTTATATATCCTGTACACCTGTTTGGGATATACGGTATTTTTAGCGGACGAGATTTATGCCCAAAGCATACAGATTGGATTCAGTGCAGTAAATGCAATAAATGCATTACATAAAATATGTACGTCATGTCATAACACTTGTAACATATGTAAAAGATTGTAATTTATATTATCTCTTACTGTGTATGCGTACATATACATATTTATCATTCTTATTATTTAATAAAACTTTGTAAACATATTTTATAAGTTATTGTGTCATTTTACATCTTATTTATAAGCATTATTTGTAAATTTTTCATGGGCTGTACTTCCTAAAAATATCATCCACTCTTCTTATAAATACTCATGCGTATATCTCACCTCTGCAGGATATATAGCAAAAACACAAAAGTTTCAAGTCCTCTTTTTAGTACAAAAAATAAATATTTCTGATTTTTAATATTTTTTTCATAGTAGTAAACAATATAAAGTATACTTGCATAGTTCATTTACTTTAAACATAGTAAATAATATTTAGGCTCAGTTTCACAACTTAGGCCCAGTTTCACAGTTAACTCTTAATCAAGGTTCAACTTGTTTTTTATGTCTTTCCAATTCTAGAATTGGAAAGAGACAATGAATAAGTTGAACCTCGGTTAAGAGTTAACCATGAGTTGTGAAACTGGACCTTACAGTTAACTCTTAACCGAGGTTCAACCACAGACTTCTATAAATAGACTGTCGACTTCGCCTCCATGTTTGAAGACAGTGCTGGGCAGCGCCATATATGTGTTCACTTACTCTCATATGTATAAATCACACGGATAATAATGTTAGTGTTTTCATATAAATTTACGTGATATTTTCAAACATGATGCACACATACGCATATGTGAATTGAATAAAGACAATTTGGAAACAAGAATAGATAGGATCAGGTTAATCTCTTTCTATCATTTATTGAGTCAGCAGTTATAGAAGTCTGTGGATTCAATTTATTTTTCCTGTCTTTCTAATTCTAAAATTGGAAAGAGATGAGGAGTATGTTGAACTTCGGTTAAGAGTATCCATGAATTGTGGAACTGGGCCTTAATAGATTAAGTTTTTGTTAGGTGCAGCGCTATACCGGAATTATCCTACCAAAATCTAATATCGCCGAAGGTATTCTAGCGCTCGTTAGCTACCTTCTTGTTTTTCAATTCCTCACCCGCGATTGTGCACGATTTGCAGTATTAATGGGCGATTTGATCTTACAATTAAACGGGTTATCTAATTCTTCGATAATCAATACGCCGTTAATTATCGGTTTGATTTATAATTAAGCTTGTAACCAGATAATAAATGCCAAAATGCATCGATCGTGTCCAATTCAGGATGTGGTAAATAATACGATGCTCGAACTGTGTATGTTCATAAATTCAACTATCTTTCGGATTTTTTGTTTTGAAAAGCGTTCTTTTTCAGCACATATATCTCCCATTTAGAGAATAAATATGTTATATACAAATATGTTACTATAATTCCTGCAATATTTTTTATCACAAGTCTCACGATTGTGTATGCTTTACCGTTGCTACTATATAGGTATCTGGTTAAACTAGCATAACTGGCATAACTGTAAAATATAATAAATTATGAATTGTAATTATATAACTTAGTTTAAAAAAAATATTTCTAAATGGTAATCACATTTATTGCATTACTTTTAAAAATATTATTCTAAAAGAATTGTTGGTATTATTTTCATAAATAATTTTACAAATATATATATATATATATATATTAATTTCTTTCTTCAATTTTCTTATGCCAGTTCATTCAAATTTATATTTTTTATTTCATTGAATTGGTCTATTAAAAGATATATTATACATATCTACGCTCAAAGTATACAGATAGCAGCTTTATGTAATTTGTAGATAATGTTGTAGGTTATGTTGTAAAGAGAAGCCATTTTATGAATAAATCACGTAATTATAATTTCTCATAAATTAAAAAAACATGCGCTTTGAAATTAGCAGAAGCAATATAGCGAGAAACTGATTAAAACTACAAAATTTCGTAATTTTAAAATTCTTTTTTTTTTTGTAGTATTTTGATAAAATGTAACATATAATATATTACTCTTTATGCTTTCACAAAAATTATTTGCCACTGATTATATGTTAATATAATAATACAGTACAGACTTTCGAGCAAAAATGTTGACTACGAATATATTCAAATATTTAAAAACTGTTTATATTCATCTTGTATAAATAGACATTATATCAAAAATATTAAATAATAAACAGGTTTTACAAAAACTAAATAAAATTACAATATAATCCCAATTTTTTTATAATAAACCTTACAAACAAAAAACTATCTTTAATATTTTATGTAGAATAGATATCACTTATTTACAGTTTCGATTATAAAATTATGTATTATAAAATTATATAATTCAAAAAATGGAAGTTAAAGATTGAGATTGCATAAAATTATATCAATCAGAATAGGTATTTACTTTTATCGTTCTGGCTAATATTATACAATCTTAACAATATGGCGGCTTTTATCTGAAACGTTTGATTGGTTGATTTTTTTATCTATACAACTATGTTTTGACCGAATAGGACTTTAAAGAAGAAAATTTTAAAAATTAAAAATATTCATGAAAATAGAGAATGAATAGTTAAAAATCTAGTCAATACTTAATTCATAATTTTTTATTCGATATTTTTATATCGAATTGCAAAAAATATTGAATATATTTCGATATTATTGAATAGCGATAAACATCTCTAATACAATACAATGTCATATAAAGTAGTTAACAAATATGTATACTTAAATCTCTAAGTGAAATATTATGACAAAACTTCTATATAATTAACGAAATAACAAGCGAATGAATAACAAGCAAATAATTGTAATTTATTCAGTCACACCTATTAGACATATAGAATAATGTCTGTCTAAACTTTTAGCTTATCTTACAATTAGTAAGCGGATTAATAGCATATTAATTTTCAATATTTGCTCGCGCATTCACGCGTGAAATCAATACATTAATTATCACCTGAAAATCAGACGGCTGATGTTAACTGGTACTGGCTTTAGTTCTAAATGAAATTTGCGGTGAAAGGAAACGTCCGATATCTGCACAGATACCCAATTAATTTTTCTATTTCTGGCATTTTGATGAACGAACAGATTCTTTCAAATTTTAATTACGATCGACGCAAGTCAATGTATATCCAAAACAGCCTTCCTTCATCTAGCATATAAGAGATTTGCAATTAATTATTCACAGTACAAAGGATCGAGCAGGACCGAACTTATTACGGAAGAGCATGATCCGTATGAATTCACGGAAGATCTATTCGGCACCGACATAGTGTAACGCATCAACGATTCACCGTCAATGCGAACGGAATTGACGCGCGCGATCGATCAACGTCCAATTCGCGGACCAACGGCTTCGTTCGTTTACGTGGTACAAATAAAATTCTCGGAAACGTAGCGGGATGTGCCCGTACGCTTGATTGTTGGAAATATTGCGGGCAAGAGCAAATAAAACGTCGCAAACTCGAAACGTACGAGTTTCAAACGCAGTCTCTGATTCCGTAGAGAGCTCTCACATAACGGTGTAAAATGGGAATGGGGTGATGAGTATTCGAAAAGGAAATTATAGTCGAATTTCAAGATTAATTATACGTATAGTTTAACGTATAGATGTGAAGTAACAAGAAATTCGCAGTCTATTTCTATATTTTACACAATGTCCTAGCATTTAGTGTGCATTTTTTAAATAAAAATGTATAGGATGCTGCTGATATCTACAGATCATAAGTTGGATTGCCTATCTAGCTATGGGCAGGCTTTACTGTAATGCGAAATAAGATTAGATCGCAAGTCCAGCGGAGAATGAAACAAAAGAAATTAAATTTTACATAAGGCAGATAGGCAACCCGACTCACTGATCTTGTAGATATCGGCAGCACTTTGCATGTAAAATTATATAAATAATGTGTATAAAAATTACACAGTTTATAGCAAAAAGATACAAAATTGTGTGTTTTTACGAGAACTATAGTACTTTTATCTTAAATTTCAAAAAGATATACCTTTATATTGAAAAAAGTACAATAACAAATTTTATAATTTCTATTTATTTGTAAGATACGACTTTACGTGTATATATATATATATATATATATATATATATATATATATATATATATATATATATATATATATATATATATATATATATATATATAATTATATATAATACATAAAATAATTATCAAGTTTTTCCTTTTCTTGTCACAAATGTACTTGACAGACAGTAAGACAAACACTTCGTAATTTGCACGTGAAAATAAATGAATTCGGAAAAAAACAAATTTTATGTGTTATTTTTATCCTCTTTATTTTCTTTTCTTGCAGAGCTTGTCTTCTCATTCGCCTGCTCGTAGATGCTGTGGATCCAAGTTGAGATGCACCGAGTATCAAGAATCTATTACACGTCGAAGTTACACATCATTTTGCAAATGCATACAGACGACTCGTGAGTCGTGAGCGGACTTTCGAGTGCGTCATTAGACGCGCTCAAACGTTCGCAACTGTGCATATTCTCAACGACCTCGATGATGAAGAAGCTGTGCTTAAAAAAACTGGTCGACCATCATCAAGGCGGACTCTCGAAAATTCGCGACCGACAGGGATGAAAAGTATGTTAAGATATTGTATTTAATTATCAACGTCACTTTGCTTTTATTTCCTCTTTTTAAGACTTATCGTGTTAAATGTTATTGACAGAAAAAATAGTTGAAAAAATAACAGCTTATATAATTTCTTTTTATTATACTGAAAGAACAGGCAGTATTTTTAAGAAACATTATTAATCTAGAATCTCATTATGATGTATTGTATTACTATATTGAATAGTATCGTATCTCGTAATTGACGATTTAGTTTTTAATACAATTTTGCTATATTATTTTATAATTAAATTAATATATAACAAAATTGCATTAAGAATTCATAATTAAACAAATATATTATAAAATTTCTTTCAAAATTTACTACACTGTAAATTATATGTCAAAATATAGTCAAATTTTATTTTAAAAATTATTTTTAAGTATACGAAATATGTGAAAAATAATTTAATTCTCAGAAATCATTTAATATATCTTTACTGAAATTGTATCAAAGATTTTATATCTATAATTAAACAAGATTATAAGATTCATTGTTATGTAAGACTTTCGAAATTTATCGCACATAAATTATATGATAAAGACGGAATATAATAAGATTTCATTTAAAAAAAGATTATTTTCAGTAACGTACAAAATACGTGTGCCTCGAACGAGACACGGGTGTCTCGTCTGGGGATTCGACATCGTAATCGCGTGGGGAAATAAACGACCAAACGATGATGATGGAACACAAACAAACGATACTGCTGGCACCCTCACTCAGCAACAGCAGTTGTTGGCGAAGCGGCACATCCGATGCCGCTTGGACAGGTCCGGGCCCTGGAGAACTGATACGAGCTGCTCTGATATTGCTACTCAGTCTTGGTATCCTATGCGCCAATCTACTGGTGATATGTGTCATCAATAGCAGACAGTACAGCAAATATATACATGCTCAGGTAAGTTGGTACATTTTTAAGATATGTAATTTAATTTACGCTACTTTTTAAAAACGAACTAAAGTTCGTTGCTTTATTGACAAAATTTCTATCTTGTTAAATATGAATTTTAAAAGTCAATCCGTTTGTTTTTATTGTAAAATAATAATAATTACGAAATCTGTAAAAAATCTCAAACTTTTAGAATGTTGGAAAGAACAATATTGATTTTCCCGAAAATTTCACTTGTTATTTGAAAGATGGAAATAGGATTAATGCTCTCAATGAAACATTCTTTATATATAAACATCTAAATATATTAGCTAACAAAAAAAAAGTTAAAATATTTATACAATGTAATGAAATTAATATTAAATATTTGTTTTTTATTTTATAAAAGGATTACGGTAAAATATTAGTTACGTGAATGCACGAAGGTTTCAGTCGGTGCCATAACTCACAGTCCGTGATGGAAGGGTTCGCGGTATTTTCTCCATTTCTCTCTTCTTCCTATGTAAATCAGTCTGAAGTGGTTAGCTGCTCGAAATACAGGACAGTCATGTTTCTGGGTTCTAAATGAGTCGAGTTTCGTAGAGACTGATGATGCCCGCAAAAAATTGTACATTTGCAAATGTTTTATTCCTTATTTTTTGATTAATTACATTTTTTTGCCATTATACGTTCGTAATATACTGAGAATATCTTTACCAAAACGCAATATATGCAATAAAACGTTCTTTAATATTAATCGATTTTTATTGCACAAATATGTAAATAAAATTTTTCTGGAGAAAAGATACGTACACAGATTAGATAAATTCTATAACTGTAGTGGATATGTAAAATATATCCTTATTTCGATGCTGTGATACCTACATTAGTTTAAATCCTTTTCGAGAAACCGTTATTCTAACAATCGTTTATCTCGATTTGTTATCGGGATTTATACAATCTCCTAATCTCCTGTAAATATTATCACTAATGAAGTTTAACTTTTCTGTACTGCTTTTTCTGACTCCTTCCCAGTTTTCTTTTTCTATCTAGTGACTTCGCACTTTCAGATCTAATTTATGTATATGTAAAAGTTACGTAACCTACTAAATATGTATACGAAAGTAACTTCGATTTTCCATGCAATTATTAACGAGTAGAAAGTAATAATGCAAAATTGAAGGTTAAAACTACATTAAAACTTCAACAATTGAAAACACATTATATTTTTTACTTCGTCTTGAAAATTAAACTCTTTTTTAGTATTGCATACGTAGGTTTCTATAAACATTTTAATTTAGTAAATAAATTTAGTCTAAACAGTCAATTGAATTAACTAATCTAAACATTCTGAACTAATGCTTATATAGAAATGGACAATTAGCGAAAAGAAGTTTCCTTTAAGTTCAATCGATATTTTCTCTCGCTACACGTCTCATGACGGAGCTAATGTCGCGCATGTTACACAACAATTCAACCATTCGGTAATGATGTCCATTGATACTGACCAAGACGATCAACAGGTCTTTTTCAATTTTTTTCCAGCCCAGATATTTACTGACGAGCTTAGCAAGTAACGACCTAGCGATTGGTCTTTTAGTGACGCCTTTCGGTTTCTTACCAGCTGTTTACGGATGTTGGCCGTACGGTGAAGTTGTCTGTCAAATTCAGGTAACTTTTACAATATTAATTATTTTTTAAATAGTTTTATATTTATTTTTGAACACATAAATTTGTTATCTTATTATACAATTAATGCTACATAAATATAAAATTGATACATATATAATATATGACTTGATAATATATTTTATATTGATAGTGTTTTTTTTATTGTGCCATGATAAATGTGTAACTTGAATATAAAACGTTGGAGATTACGACATCACTTATAACGTTGAGTGTTAAAGAGTCGTTCAATAACCTCAAACCTCGACAGCATTTCTTTGCCAGAAATCGAGGAATTTATAGGAAATCTCGAAATGGTATTCGCGATGCTTGGCAGGAAATTATTATCGTTTGAAACTCGTGGCTGCGCTTCCGGCAGCCGGTACTTCTTCCGCCATTTCCTCTACCAGTCGGCGACTGCGACGTTATCGGAGTTCCTGGCGATAATCTTTACGCATTGCTCCTTTTCCTCCGATCCCTTCCTCGTTCTCTACGCCATCTTCTGAGGTAACGGTCTGATTTGTGACTGTATATTTCTTCATTTCGCACGTGTTAAACTCCGGAATGTACCGTTTCGTTGGTAGATCTCGAATTTCATGGGTATTTGCTTATCTAACCGTAACGGGAAATTGCCGTAATACCTTACGCGAAATTAGACATAAGTTATATATATATTATATATATTAAATACAACTTTACTCGCTTTGTTACCAACTTTACTTTAATTTATAATAAGTACTTGTCACGTAATTAGCATAATTTAATTTGTTAAAAAATTTATTTTTTTTTAATAATAAATAAAAATTCAGCATGTTGTATAGTATACCTGTATAGTGTACTTCTGCTCTCTGATTATCTAATGTAACGACACGGTTAATTAACTTATATAATATAAACTATAAAAATTTTATAGTCTCTAATGAATTAAATCAATAAAGAATAAAAAAATCTTTGAGAGCCGATGTTGTTGCAATTACGTTTTATTGTATATATAATAATTGAAGATGTTTCGATTCTTTTAGTTTGGATCCTCTTCAGTAAATACATTAATGATAAGATTAAAATATATATAATAATTACAGTTAAATATAAAATTGAATACATAATATAGTGACAACTTAGAACATATTTTTGTACGCTTGCGTAATAAAAAATAATATCAAAAGAATTAATTTTAGTAATTTCAAATAATAAAATTTAACAAGAAAAAAGAGAAAGGTATTTCCTCGTTAAATAGAAAGATGTAATCTATTTTGTTACAGTTTTGTTTATATCAATTTCTTTTCAAAACCAAATGCTGGATGTTAATTGATATTTGTGACGTTTAATCACAAGAAAACTTTTATTAGTTTGTTTCTTTATTTGATTATTCCTGTCGATAATATAAACAATAGAAAAATAATAAATTTGTGATAGTATTGGCCGAGACATTAACACACACACACACACATATGTCATCTTTTTATAGAATCGTTGTATAGGTATATATATATATATATA